CTCTCTTAAAGGAGTGCCTAAACTGCTCAATTTTCAGATGGTCTGGGAAATATTTCGCGCAAATAAGGTGTTGGCAATGGGACAGCGACTGGCGCCAAGTCTCGCCATTGTGTTTATGTCTAAGATAGATGCCCCTGTTCTCGATCTCTGGCCACTACTCTACTGCAGATATGTAGATGACTGTTTTGTCGTTTTCTCTACGCAGGAGGAGGTGGACAAATGCTTTGAATTATTGAACGAGCAGTCTGAGTACATAAAGTTCACCCGGAAGAAACCGAGAATAAACCGGCTTACGTTTTTGAACGTTCAAATAAACCTATCAAGTAGCGGTTACTTGACAAAGTGGTACCGAAAGGCAAGTAACAAGAACATCCTTGTTCATTTCCCTTCTTCCCACCTTTCACACACAAAGAGGGAGACCGTGAGAAACATGTTTCGAACGGCCATCTCTGTGAGCACTAACAGGGAACTGAAGGAAGAGTCGCGCGACTTAGTTCGGTAGATAGCCATCTCCCAATGGCTACGAAATAGGAACCCCGCGAGATAAGTTTAGAAGGTGGGCGACGCGCCCAAGCGAAACACTTGGCCAAAAGAAAATCGCGTTTATGTTGCCTTTTGTAAGCGATGAAGCATGCGTATCTATAAAACGATGCTTACGAAGGGCAGGTCTAGAGGAATCGGTAGCGATAGTTGAAATATCACTGGCTACTCTACGTCGTCAATTAGTTCGTAACCGCCTGTATGGCCGTCTGTGTGAAACAACAAATTGCGTAATTTGCCCTTACGGCATGGGCGGTGATTGAATGAGTTCAGGTACGATATACCTGATCACTTATAATAATTGCGGAGATGAATATATTGGCGAAACGGGCAGATCTTCGTGTATCCGTATAAAAGAACACCTAGATGGCAAACGAAAACTAAAACAAAACATCCCACTGGGCACACATAGGATACAAAAGCATAGCGGAGACGATTTTGAAGTAAAAGTCATTATCCTTGCACAGGAGACTAAAACACCAGCACGAAAACTTCTTGAGGCTTTTTGAATAAATGCCAAAAACTCTACAATGGGTAGCAGGGATGAATGCCCAGAGGTCATTACGCGACCTGACCCCGTATGTTCGCATCAATTTCTGGTGTGGGATGGTGCAGTCATCAACCATATGCGACTATAATCAGCTGTTCTAAACTTGCTCATTGGAATTCACGTAAAAAGCGATGAGTCTTTCGAAAAACTGTTGATCATGTAATTGCCATAGGGTTTTTTGGTTTTTTTGTAAGTGTTACTGAAGCGTTTGGCCTAGTAGATTGCATATCAGTATACCCTTCCAGCCTCTGAAGAAGGCAATGCTGCCAAAACATCAGCTGCTGTTGTATTGTATTGTGCTTTTCTATGGAAGTAAATGTATGCTGTTTAAAAACCTCGCGACTGCTTAACAAGAAAACGACGCATTCATGCTCCAATGCCGAGAAAGTCGATCCTGGGAACTATTTTTAAAGTTGTTAAATACTTGACTTTGTAGTGATTATGTTCTGGTCTGCATAAAGATTTCGGAGCATCTCTGTGCAAGAGGAAACTGGGTTTTTAGGATTCACCTTTCGACCCACTCTTTCGAGCTACCGTATCACAGCTGATTATAAGGTAACAGATTATTTTTCCAAAAGAGACAAAAGTAAACAGAAAACGCAATTGATAACTCTCTAGTTCAAATCTTCCACCTAATTGAGTTATCAAACTGAGTCACCGAGTCACCAGTGATATCTTTCATTTCAAACAATGTATAAGAACGTAAATAAAATACTTTCGATGACAACGCTTCACGAGAGAAATTTCGAAGAGATGTCACGTTGATTCAAGCACCGCGTGTCTGGCGAGCCTGACGGCCGAAACAAGCTGTCAGGCGTGCTCGGACTGCAATCAGTGTCAGTGAATGCGGTGAGGTAATTCGATAATCGTGTTGGTTCACATCATCATGTGCTATGTACGTGCATATGCTATGTACTTGCTTCTTGTTCCCATCTACCATCTCCACGTGAATTACGATAATCACTCCGACCATGCAAATCTCTTCCATTCAACTGTACACTGGTTCTAGACGGACAAAATGATGAATGACAATGATAGAAATCAACATTAATTCGTCCCTAGCGACTTGCCATGTATTTGACTATGCTAAGCAGCCTAGAGGTGAATGAATGAAAGTAAGGGCTATGTAATGATGGCCGAGTTCCACCAATGTATCATGCCAGCGTTTTTAGCCGCCAAGCAAGTCTGGCACCAATTTGTCGACCCAAAAGAATGTGGAACATGGTTAGTCTGGATCGCCGAGTTGAATCAAACACCATTTAAATATTGCGGAACACCTTCAACTACTACATTTTATACTGTAGAAGCCTTTTTAAAATATGCGATTCTTTGGGTGGTAGATACCGTCCAATATCAAGATCATTCGATGGCGTGAGAGCAGAAGAAAAATTGTACGGAGGTGAGAAGAAAGGAACAAAAATTCAAGTTGGACACAATTTTATCATTAGCGGACGTTTTGGAGATAATATTGACACATGTGTTCCTTTTTACCTTTTTAAAAGCCACTCGTCAACGAATGGTTAGTGGTGTCGGTTTTATTAGTATGCTGACAAAGCATTAGTTATTTAAAAAAAACAAATGTTGAAACAGCTAAAAAATATGAAGCGGCAACAATGGAAAGCCGAATTAAATAAGAGTGGAGAAGTATATGCGGAACGAATTGATGGAAATCTAAAGCAGTTGTGCGAAAAACGCAAGACTGAAGAGCGAATGTGATAAAAACGATGAGGCGACGAAGAAAGGTGAAATATTACAGCATTTAAGAAGTAAACTCATTCAAAAAAGATTCTGAAGGATTTCGATAGAAGAAAACTATCTGGAGATATAATCACAGTCTTAACCTTTTTATTTACTGCCTATTCTTTTTAACGGCAGTGTATGTTGCGAAATATAACTTCTGTAATGCTGATATATTTGCAAAACTCCGGACCGCAGATCTCTGCGGTTGGAAACGAACGCGCTATTGTCCTTTCCAGGGAGTAACGCGTTAACCACCACACCATTTGAGTCTTTCGTTTTGGCAAAAGATCGATAGAACTAACTGAGAGACAGGCGAAACGAACCCGCATGGTGTGGTGGTGAGCGCGTTACGCCCCGGAAAGTACAATAACGCGTTCCTTCCCTACTGCAGTCACCTGCTGTCCGGAGTTTTGCAAATATCTCAGCATTATAGAAATTACTATTTAGAGAATTAGCAAACCACTGAATATTAAGCTGAGGCATGGAAAAATAGCTGAATGCTGAATAGGATAAGCAGCTCTCCTGATCACCTGTTCCTTTCTAGCTTCTCGAGAATGTCAGGACAAAGTCTTCCTTCCCCTTGTGGAGTCCATTGGTATCTACTGGACTACAGCAACTCAACAGACACATAGAACATCATAAATTTCGTACAAGTCACTCCATCTGCAATTATTTTGGCGTAACGGAACCTGTTAGTGCCACATTTACTGTTCTACTGTGAGTGCACTACTATGAACAGTAGTTTGTCGGGTTTTACCAGAGTAGAGGTGAGATTTGTGCCCTAGGAGCAACTATCCAAAACGAATTAAGCTTTTCAATTGTTTGATTGTGTGTTTTTGAGCGAACTGATGTGTAAGATAGAATTCGCATATGTACAGGCACAGAGCTCCAGTTATCCGACATAACAAAGGCTGAGGTCTATCCTCGGCACCTTTTCACTAGTGGGGCACTTTTAGATTGCGCTTTACCTTTCGATGTATCTAAGAAAAATCCGCGCAGGCTTGATATTGACTTCAGCTCAAGAAGGAATTCCATTGAGCCCAGGAACACAATAAGTGAAAGTGGAAATAATTCGGTAGGGTAAGGTCTAAGAGCCATATCTTAATGCATGAAACGCTAATCGCTATTTATTAAATAACCTGACATGACATGTATTACATGAAGATGCCAGTAATTCTAGCAATTCACCATCTTTTAATTCTTTTCTCGCATTCATCGTCCACGAAAGCCTTTTTGCTTGTAAGTTCAAGTATTAGTTGTGGATTTTTCTTTCGTCATGAATGTCGTTGAGTGGAGGTCGAACAGATTCTTCTAGAAGTCCTGAGGTAGCCGTGCTAGGGCGTTCCTATCCTACGCAATTAGAGAGATTGCCCCAAACAAGTCTGGCACCAATTTTCCGATTCCAGAGGGATAACAAAATTGTACGGCATGGTGTAGGATCGAACCATAGCCTGGGTAGATAGCACCGTAAAGTAATAGACTGAATCACTATTACTGTGCCACTCACTCATTGTGGAAAGTAAAATTGAAATGAAAAAAGAGTTTGATATCCGGCTAGCGTCAATTGCATTCTTATGAGGAAATAAAAGAAATGTTTCGAAAACGAGAACTCGTTGAATTCACTCTTGGAAACTTAACGTGATGTGAAATCTATCACACTGGAACCATATCTCCAGCCATTCAAAGAAACATTGCATTTTAAAGTGAAAAGCTGCAAAGCTATCAACCTCATACAGCGTTCAGTTGACTGAACGATTGAGTTGATTGAGTTGACACTGTCAATCAGTTGACTAAATGACAAATTTACCGATCCTGCACGTGTTTAAAAACTAGCTCAGTTTCCCGAACTGGGAGCTACTCTTCCGTCTAAGTTTTATAGTCAACGTATAAAACCGACTTCTGATAAAGTGGTGACCATCGACTCTCTCGTAACTATTGATCTCAACTAAAAACAGAAACAAAACGACTCGATTAAAGATCTCAGAAAGACATAGAAAATACAAACATAGCGAAACAATATGGTGTTCAATGGTCATTAATTTTAGTAAAACGAAAGTTGATCACACAAAATATTCAACATCTTTATTCGTCAGTTGAAAAACGACCATCGTTCGCACAAGCAGTCATCAGGCACAGAAGCAATCAATAATCGATCGAAAACTCGCCCAATTCAACTGATGATAAAGGATTCACGAACTAACATCAAGCACTCACCGATGTCGATTTCGTCGTCGTCTTGATAGCGGCCGTCATCAATACAGGAGTCAGGCTCGGACATGTTGGAGGCGACACTTGGCGATGTTCTTCCTGAATGTGCTGGGACCCTTAGGTAGCTGTGCTGACCATCGAATACTTCAATGCGACCACTTCTCATACCTTAACGACCAACCTATAATGGACGTACTTCACAAGGGAAGATTTTCAAAGTAATTACTTCTAATTACTTATCTATAACGTATAAAATACTGGTTTATGTTCATTTTTTTATTACAGAAATAATTAGTAACGGCATAGCTTAGTCCTTTTTGAAATGCCATTAAAACAATTGTTTTTTTTTTCATTCGCTGCGGAGAGCGTGGCATTCACGAGTAATGGGTTGAGAAAATATTTCGAACAAAAACACACTCGGAAGTACAAGCGATCACATTTAGCAGGAATAAAATTATTCCAACCAAAACTTATCAAGAAACGAATTATTCCCAGGATCGACTTTCTATTAACCTCGGCAATGGAATATGAATGCGTCGTTCTCTTGTTCAGCAATCGCGAGGTTTTTAAACAGCATACATTTACTTCCATAGAGAAACACAATACAATACAACGCTAGCTGACGTTTCGGCAGTGTCGCCTTCTTCAGAGCCTGGAAGGGTATGCTGATATACAATCTACTAGGCCAAACGCTTCAATAACACTTGCAAAAATACGAAAAACTCTCTGGTAATTACACGATCAACAACTTCTCGAAAAACCCACCGCTTTTTAAACGTATGCTGTTTAAAAACCTCGCGATTGCTGAACAAGAAAACGACACAAACGAATTATTGCTTATTCTGCTCTTATGATGAACTTAAGCAACTGTAAACTGTAGAGCTCCAAAAATTTTGAAGTTAAACGCTTTTACAAACTCCTACAATAGTCTGGAACGGGTAAAGTGTTGGGAATTGATAACAACCCCTTAGCCGCATTGAACTCCGCTCGCAGCACCGTGGGGACTGCACTCATACTTGGGTTCACTTGCTGATCTATCATGTCTATCATACTATATCATGTCAGTGTACCTCATTTTTTCCCTAACAAACTGATCTCTGTTTGCCGAACCTGTAGGGATGGGGACAATCTTGATTTGCGCTAGGTATGGGATCCAACCAAAGACAACGTGCGTGTTTAGGAGCACATGTAACCATGGCGCCACACTCAGCCCAATATCTCTATAAGCTCAGAAAGTAAATGAATCGTATAACGGATTTTTGGTGACAAGTAGACTTTTTTATGTGGGCCGGTCTGTTACGAAATTGTTCCCAAATTCTATATTGCTAAATCTGTGAAGGAGTATGTATTTGAAGGACATGATGAAGGAAAAAGTGGTAAGAGTTCGACAGCACACCGAAACGATCATAGCCCAGGTTGTCTCGTGCAGAACTGCCACTGTTCAACTAATAACTCCACACCAGTAGCGTTTTTCTGTGCTGGTATTGAAGCTACGGTGGTGCTTTTCATTATCAACTGCCAACGGTCGATTGACGTTTACGTCGATCAAAAATATCCATGCAAATCAGCTTAGCTTGTTAGCAACTGTTGTGAAGAAGTAGCGGCAGACACAAGCATGAGTTGGTTAACTATCCGACGACGCTCAATCGTACATATCTGCGACGGTCGTCAGTAGCTTGTTCCAAAAATGTTTAGCGGGAATGGGATCTTTGTACTGCTTACGATCCAAGCCTTACACTTTTTGATATTCATCTGCCAAAAATACTCTTCTGGCAGGTTTGAAAACCTGGACTAAACCGTTTTTCGGTTAGCAAACTTGGAAATGGTAGCATAATGGATTTTATACTGTTCTTCAATGTCCAATTGATCACTCAACTTGAAGATTATAATGTAAGTTGTAGCAAACTTATGTTGAAGAAAGAGATCAAAAATCAGAATGGGAGAACGCAGATGTGTATGAATCGTTCTACTCTCAATAGAAACATGCAAATATAGGTAACACCACTGGAGGTACACAGGAGTAGTATGAAGACGTATAGCGCGAAAGAAAAAAATCAAAACAAGCAAGGAGAAACTATAAAAAACCAAAACTCGACCCAGCTATTTACTCTTCCGCAGTCACAATACTTCGTATCCTATCGTAACCTTTTTGATAATGATAAAGTATTGAGTAAGTGCTCAGGCGAATTCAACTTCGCAATCACCCTTCTAATACACGAGGAGATTAACTGAATAAAATAAGATTAGTTTAAGATTCCTAGTGGACTCGTATCCAACTACCGTACACTACGAGGTAAGAATATTATTTGAAGAAAAAGCTCAAAAATTAATCTGTCAAGGATAAATTTAGGACTAAACACTGAAAAAAGATTAGTAGCATTATACCATCATTTGAAAGCGTACGAACGAATAGATATAGCTTTCTGACACTAAACAAAAATCGAGAGATGAAACTCTAAACCAGAAACCGTGTTTCTCTGGTTTTGTTGGTCTGTTTATAATACTTTTACTTTTTTGTTTTCAAATCGAATGCCAACATTTGTAGGATTATGTAAAAAAACCCACAATGATGCTGAGATATTGGCTCGCAAAACTTGGACGATGGGCCGTACTGAACCACGATTACTCTTTCCGGGAGCTCGCATATTACACATTGCACTACGGAGGCCCTCGCATTGCGTTTCTATCAACTAATTTTCTACTAACACTGTCATCAGAAATCATCCGTCAGTGGGTTAATACTTGTAGTATTTTTCAAAAAATACTATACGTGCACCCAAAAACTACTTTTAGCATTCGTATATAATGCTGGGATATTTGCAAAACTCCGGACCGCAGGTGTATGCGGTGGGGAACGAACGCGCTATTGTCCTTACCGGGGAGTAACGCGTTCACCACCACACCATCCCGGTCCTTCGCTTTGCCTGTCTCTCAGCTAGTTCTATTGGTCTTTTGCCATCAGCAATAATACTTGTAGCATTATTTGTACAACAGAGGATTATTTAAGTTTGTTAAATATTGAAGTATTAGTGCTGAGAAGTCACTTAAATGGTCAAGTAGCCTTCACTGCATCAAAAGGTGCTGCCGAAGCTTTACGTATTTCTCTGAAGCTTAAGATAAAAAACTGAATCACATCATAGAAAATTTGGCAAAAAACTCATCCATGAATGGGGAAGAAAATGCGAAAATAACGGTTTATTGAAGTAGTGATGCGGGAAAATTGTTACCGAAGAAAGATGATAAGGGGCCAATAAAACACTCGACAAAAACCACAAAAGACCACAAAGGTCCAGAAAACAGCAAGAAACTTCGAGCAAATACCATTTTTAAAAAGAACCATGTAGTCATAATCATATAAGCATAAGATGATATATAATTGTACAAAGTGTGCACCTGTGGCACGACTTTTTCAAGAATCAAAATTTCTTAGAAAGCCGATTTGGAGATGAACCTCTCCAAAATGGGACTCGCGTTTCATAAAGCGTTTTTGAATTCTACCTTTGATAGATGATCGTATGGCAGGCAATGTACCGGTACGGCGTAAATCACAGAAATCCGGTGAGCCATTCGGATCTCGTACCACCCGCACACTATGCCATCGTACCACTCGTCGATTTCGTGGTTCGTCCAACTCGTCCAGAGGCTCTGGTGACGAGTCACCCATGCTACAAACCAATGACTGCGATAAACGACGGCGAATAGAGGTACGGTATTAAACAATACACGAAATAATTCTGTTACAACTCTTTTTTGTTGTTGAACGTTGGGTGATGCATCGAAACGGCCAGCAGTTCACTGCCACCGCTATCTTAGATGCAGTGTTGATGAATGCCTGGCTTTACCAACAGCAGAACAATCATGGATGTTGCCAAGCAATTCCACGCCTTTCATAATGGGTATGAATCACATTAGAAGTTCCGTATTCGATGACATCACCAAACGTCCATTATTCAAAATCTAACGAAAAATATGGATGAATAAAGAAGAATTACCAACGATGTCTGAAAAAGATGAAGTCTTCATCATCAGAATAATCCTAACTTGGAACAGAAGTTGTAGTGCAAGTGCAAAAGTTCTTAAATGTGGTATCTGAGATTGAAATGCTCTGGAGTAACCTATAGGATATTGTAGACAGAATTTCTAGAACAATAATAGGAGAAAGCAGCATTAAAACTTCAAGGAAAGAAATTTTGAAGGAGAAAACCTGACAGACCCTATTGTTGGGAACTCTTTAAGATGAAACGGATTTCGTCTGTATTACCAACTTTGTTTGAGTAATATTAGCTAGGGCAATATGTAATGTATAAAGGATAAAGCTCCCGGCGCTGATCAATCCCTGAGGGATGAGCCATGCATTCGACTTCATTAAACATCGTTTGGAGGTGATTGAATACATATCTGGTTTTTACAATGACTCGCGGTGGCCTACCGATGTATCGAGCCAATGCTTCTATCCTTTCCAGACAAGTCTGGTGCCAATTTGCCGAGCCCGGACGGATGGAAGGCTTGGTGAGCCAAAGGCGAGTGGATCAATTCCACGTGTGTGTCGCAGTGGCGCCTTCAGCCACACGCGCCTCTATGTAATGTATATGACCCATTATAATGAAACGCTAAGCACGGAATTATAATTGTCTCTTAACTTCTGACACTTCGCATCTTGCCCGTGACCAAAAATTTGTTAGCTTTTACAGCGAAAACGATAAAGAAACACGATGACGAAGGAGACAGACAACATACGCCGATTTCTTCCCTATTTTAAGTCCTTCCTAATGAAATCCAACAAAAGTTTAGAAAACGACAAGTTAAGCATCTGGTATAGCTATGATTTCGCGAACATTTTAGGATCGTGATGAATGTCTGCTACGGAATTCACGACGAGAACACATGTTGCCACAATACGTCCACAATAACTGATAACGTGCAGCTCAATTACATAGATGAGGTGATTACTTGATACTTAATAATTGAACGGCCCGTCCTTAATAGTTGTGCGAGCTCCAGCATAATCATCATTTTTCGGAGATTTGCTGGTTAAGCCATTGTGGTTCCGTGGAATCCCGGGGACAGCCTGCCCAAAGTCTGCCACAGGTCGTCACCACTTCAGGCAGTCGCAGCCCTTGTGGATCAGAAAAAGATTTACCACCATGCGACTTTGATACCAGGACGGTAGTGGATCCTGGCATTACTTAGGGCTTGGTGATAGAAACACCGGGCTCTTTCTCAGCTTGGGAGACCGTACCAGTAAGATGAATCCCTCCGCTGTACATCGCAGTCCGACACCTAGGAACACCTCCCAGCCACGATGAGGCGGTAAACCGTTCGGACGATAAGGTGATTACGTCACATTACCATAGATTTATGAGACAACAGAAGAGAACAGGGATGTAGAGCTGTTCAACTATGTGCCACAGCTTACATCACTTTTATCAGTATTAATCTGATTGCAGGCGTCACTGTGGTCAAAACAGCATCTCCAATGGCCCAAAATTGCTTTACAACGAAAGGATAGAAGGATGAAGGGTAAAACGTTGGCATTGAACAATCCCTGAAGGATGTGTCATGCATTTGACCCCATCTGTAGCATCATACGGATCAAAGAACTCACATCTGACGTATGCAATGACTTTCGCTGGTCTATCGGTGTGTCATGCAAGTGTTTTCATTCTTCCAGGCAAGTCTGGTACCGATTCTGCAGCCACAGATGGATAGATGGCAATTGATCAGCCCGCGACGCAGGTCCGAACCAGAAACTCATGCTGTGGGTATTAATGCAGGGCACCTCTGAGCACTGCGCGAACGTTTGCTTAGAGAACGACGTGAACAAAAAATGTTTTGCGTTACACAAACAATTCTATTCCAAGTGTGTCAACTTGATGGCAAAAATCATTTTAGACCACCTTCGTTATTGATGATCTCAGCAGTCACTGTGTCGAACTTTAGTCTCTAGTAACTGCCACGACCGACTTTCTATTAACCTCGGCATTGATCAAGTGATTTTGTTCGTATTTTTTTGAGCAAACGCGAGGTGTTATTGTTCTTTGTTCACGAATGAGCTGACGTTTCGGCGAATTTCGCCTTCTTCAGAGCCTGGAAAGGTCAAGTTGATAGCAACTCACTCGGCCAGACGCCTCCATAACCAAACAAAGAAACCCCAAACCAAGATTTCAATCACTTTGAACACAGCTTTGCACACTCACCGCTTTCTATGAGGTCTCCACTAAGTATGTCACGTAGAGACCAACCGCACAGAAATCACGTGGAAGTATAATGATACTATACTATACTATACTATACTTAGTGGAGACCTCATAGAAAGCGGTGAGTGTGCAAAGCTGTGTTCAAAGTGATTGAAATCTTGGTTTGGGGTTTCTTTGTTTGGTTATGGAGGCGTCTGGCCGAGTGAGTTGCTATCAACTTGACCTTTCCAGGCTCTGAAGAAGGCGAAATTCGCCGAAACGTCAGCTTAATCGTGAACAAAGAACAATAACACCTCGCGTTTGCTCAAAAAATACGAACANCGGGGACGACTTCGAAGTAAGTGTCACGATCCTCGCACGCGAATCGAGAACACAGGCGCGAAAAACCCTCGAGGCACTCTGGATTAATTCCAGAAATCCGAAAATGAACCGCAGGGAAGAATGCCTCATTATCACGCGTGATATAGGGCAGTATATAAAACTGCTTTTCTGATGTGAGGGGCACATTATACTTCCACGTGATTTCTGTGCGGTTGGTCTCTACGTGACATACTTAGTGGAGACCTCATAGAAAGCGGTGAGTGTGCAAAGCTGTGTTCAAAGTGATTGAAATCTTGGTTTGGGGTTTCTTTGTTTGGTTATGGAGGCGTCTGGCCGAGTGAGTTGCTATCAACTTGACCTTTCCAGGCTCTGAAGAAGGCGAAATTCGCCGAAACGTCAGCTTAATCGTGAACAAAGAACAATAACACCTCGCGTTTGCTCAAAAAATACGAACAAAATCATTTAGTCTCTAGCTTACCCATAGCGTTCGTTAGACCAGTGAAGTGGGCTTTACTCACTCAAACACAAGCAGCATCGTCCCTTCCTCATGAAACTATGTACTATTAATGCTTTTGACTTTCAAAGGCTCAAAAACACTTTCCTGAGCACTGCTTTGGGGTTGGGTAAACTCATGGGTAACTTATGCCTACGGGATCTGCTGATTGAAAGCAACTAGAAAATGAGTCCCACGCACTTTCCAGTCATTTGGCTGCGGGCTATATGTCTAATTGAATGGCAGGAAATAATGGGCATGTGTTTAAGTATGCAAGTGCTTATGTTTGCACGAAAGTATAAGTCAATCAGGCGCAGCAAAAACGGTGAGCCGAAAACCTGGGTCCATGTGTCTCCGAGAAAGACATGGATACTTTTTATCGGCATTAAACACCATTATTGGTTAGCTAAAGGGAAATTGTGTGAGGAAGATCCATAGCTGAGTTATAGAAAGGATAAAAAATTGGATACGCGAAAAGGCGGTAGAATTGAGGTTCCGTCCAGATTACATATGGCATATCAAATTTCATTCATAAGAGCATTCCCTCCTCTCTCATAAGTCATAGGTATGTGACCATCACAAGATCGCTTGAAAAACACGACATATGAGCGATGTGATAACATACAGAGAAAAAAATGAGTTTTCTAGGAAACTTTTGAAGAATAAGAAAATCGTACTCATTTCACATCATATTTCTTACAACATTACTAAATTTCAACCAGCAAAAGCGTAAAAGTGCTCAGCGTTGACTCGCCTCCCAAAGGTGAATGCATGTCAGGCCTATGCGATAACTTTTGGAAGCCTACCGATCTATCTATTTAGTGTTTTCATTCTTCCAGACAAGTCTGACACCAATCTGCCTACTTCGGAGGGATGGAAGTCACGGTGGGATCTGGGCGCAGAATCGAATCAGCAGTGACCAATTCTATGGGTGTTGTTGCAGTGCACCTGTAACCATTGGACTGCGCATGCTCCATATAAACTATCTTCGCTATAGAAATAAGCACTATCATTTTCATAATCGGACTTAGATCACATGAAAAAATGGCAGTAGTCATTTGTGAAAGAAAGGCAGCGCAGAACAAGCTATAAAAGAGCAAACAACGAAGCAAAGGAGGCGAAAAAAAGAAAATTGACAGCTGACGGAGAAACGTCTCTATCTGCTGAGGCGAATTGATTATCACTAGCTTCATTAGAAACTGAATGTTGACACCCGAAGTAGAAAGGATCACAAGCTTTTATAAAATAATACTTCAGCTGAGTTTTTACTTTCACTCGCTTAGATGTTGGCAACTGGATGTTAACATGGAAATTTCCCCACCACGCAAGAGTTGACATATTTCATATGATAATAGCACAGAAGGACTGCAAAGGAACGACGAAAAGTGTAGTTTAAAGCGAAAAGAGAGTAAAACCCAGACCGGACAAGTTCATATTCTGAAAAGCACAATTTCTGAACGACAACTTAAATCTCGCCTGCATGAACCTTTCCAAATAGAAATTACAAAACGACACTCAGTGTCCAGTTCTTCTCAAAACTGGAGAAAGTAAAACACTCGTTTCAGAATTCCCACTTTAGCAAATAAATGTTTTGGAAACTGTTAGATAAATAGTACAATCGCTTAGAGATTCGTTACTCAAAAAGTTTACCTT